CTCCCAGTCTAATTAGCATATTACCCTTTTATTAGTATAAATTTTTTTAAGAAAATAAATCTCCTTTAAACAAATCTGAGTCAGGTTTCTATCTCTTGATACCGGAAGAATCTGAATGAACACAACTAGTTTGAGAAGAGTCAACTCCTGCACTTAATCTAATTGATCTAACTCTCCCAGAGCCCTCAGTCTCCTGGGGCCCTGGCCATGCTCTCCCACTAACACCAGCTGTGTTCTGGCCCAAGTAGCACATACCAGCATTATTGATTATTAATTGAGAAGTACACTAAGTGCTCACATATTGAGGTGCATGCTTTGCACAAAGAACTGTGTCAAGCATGTATTAGCTTCAGAATCGTAAAAACCTGGGTGATGGTTGTCAAGGAAGTTAAACTCAGTACTTCAGGCTACATTTCAGAAAACTGAAGTAAAGGGATTTTACCCAGAAAACATTTCAGAACTGTGATATAATAAAAAATATATTTGGTCTTTGTCCCAGGTTCCTGGCACAGAACTTCAAAAACCCTTGGAATTTTCTGAGTGATACGAGTATCTTTTGTTCTTCATAACGAGCTCCTTTCTGGCTCAATCTGAGTGTAGAGTAATGAGGTGACTCGTGGTGAACCCTTAGATAATTTCAAGGGAGGGATTGGTCACAGCAGAAATACCAGGCAGGAGGTTGGAGGGTGAGAGCTTTCAGCCTCAACGCCAACCTCCAGGGAGAGCAGAGGGGCTGGAGATTGAGTTCAATCCATCTTCTGTGCCTAAGTTTTTCTTTTTTTTTTTTCTGTGCCTAAGTAATGAGCCCTCGATAAAGACTTGAACAATGAGGTTCTGAGGAGCTTCTGGCTGATGAACTCATGGGGTTCTGGAAGGGTGGAGCATCTGAGGGCTTAGAAGTTCTGGGCCCTGCCCCCACCCCGCCTGTCCCCTTACCTTGCCTTGTGCATCTCTTTCATTTGTCTTGTGTCCTTTAAGTTAACACTGTAGTTATAAATACAGTAGTCCCCCTTATCCAAGAAGGATATGTTCCAATGTCCACAGTGGGTGCCTGAAACTGAATAGTATCAAACCCTATATACTAGTATACTATGTTTTTTTCCTGTACATAGATACATTTTCACTTAAAAGAAACACTTTATGGCTTCTCCATGGGATATCTGAATCATCAGCATCACTAGTCTTGCACTTTGGGCCCTTATTAAGTAAAATAAGTGTGAGTTGATATTATGACAGTTGATCTGATAATCTGGTTGGCTATTAGGTAACCAGCAGGTAGGGAGTGTCTACATTGTAGAGAACCTAAACAAAGGGATGAGTCATGTCCCAGGTGGGACAGAGCTGAGTGGCTTTCAATTTAAAACTTAGGAATTATTTCTGGAATTTTCCATTTAATATTTTCAGATGAAAATTGACCAGGGGTAAATGAAATAGCAGAAAGCAAAACCAGGGATAAGGAGGATCTATTGTACAGCTCTTTGCTGGGTTCTGTGAATTGTTCTAACAAATTATTAAACTTGAGGGGGGGTCTTAGAAACTCCCAAATTTTTGGACTTTAAAAAAATTTGAGATATAATTGACATATAACATTATATTAGCTTCAGATGTGCAGCAGAATGATTTGATGTTTGTATAGAAACCAGAATTTTTGGTCAGCCCGGCAGAAGTGGGGGTGGCTCGGGGCCCCACCTACACGTAATTGTTTCTGGCGTCTGAAGTGGGGACAATCTTGTGAGACTATTCCTTCCTTCACTTACAGATCTTATGCTTACTCCTGTCAGAATTGGACTGAACTGTGGGACACCCAGTTGGTGTTAGAGAATTGCTGGGGGACCAGGTAAGAACTTTGGAGGTAACGACCCTAAAAACTATGAAAAGCGGCCAAGCACCCAGTCTCAGCTGTCTCCACAAAGGCACTTCAAAAACAGTTGAAGACCGAGCATAATATTCAACAGATCCTTCTGAAGTGAAAGGAGATATATCCATAGAGGTGAGTAAACAACAACAGACAAGGTTCTAAGGTCCAATATGCTACCTGGTGTGATAATGAGCTCCCATTCCCACGTTCACATATGAAGCTCATCTGATTCGTGATCTATTCTGCTCGAACTCCTCAGAGTGGGTCCAATTATTTTACTGCCATGGTATTGGATGTATCAAAGGTAGTATAAATTTGTAGTGGTAGTGGTATTTTGGAGCGTATTTAAAATAACCTGTGACTGAACTCATTTTTGGCAGATTCCTATTATAAAACAATCCAGAGGACCAAATTATACCCATCAAAATATACCATTATGTGCCCACGTAGGCCTGATTTTGATTCAATTTTTTATAGGATTCAGGTTTACTTTTCTACAAATACATTTGTTGTCTAACACCTCCATTCTTTCATTTCTGTTTGTATTTACTTTTTAATTATTTGGAGGGAGGTCACTCTGGGGCCTCATTCATACACGTCCCTCGGCAACAGCAGGGTCTCAGGGCAGGTCACTGGGTGCCTACATGTGTAGGGCTCCTCAGCTCCGAGGAGAGATAGTGAATAAGAGTTGGGAAACATAATGTTTCTGGGCATTGGAACTATTGTTCTCAGATGCAGGAGAGAGACGATCTGTGGTCAGTCTGATGATTTGGGATAAGGTGGATGGCATCAAACAACCTGGAATCCAGGAGCACGGCTCTGTCCTGGGCCCACCCCTGTTTATATTCAACTAACCTCTTCCCCCATCTTTCTTCCCTGCTCTGGTGGGATGGGGGGTTACACAGCATCACATTCGGTCTTTTCCACATTGTTAAGTTATTAATGAGTCATTAAAAATGGAATCGAGTTGATGAGCCATGTATAGTTTGCTTAATCATCTTCTTATGACGGATCATTTACGTTGCTTCCAAATTTTGCTTTTATAAATGCAGTTGTAATAAAATCTTTGCCCATAAAGCTTTTTCCACATTTAGGGTAAAATTGCCCAAATTAATTCCTGACTATTTTAAAGCTTTTGACACACTCACCAAATAAGTTTCTAAAAGGGCTCCAATTTCTAAAGGGCAGTGTCTAAAAGTAGTTTTTCTTTGTCCTTTTGCCAGCCCTGAATATTATAATTTTTAAAAAACCTTTGCTAACTTCATAGTTTAAAAAATGGTCTTAGTGCTTTGCTATATATTTCTTCAATTATTCTTGAAATTAAACTCCCTTTCCTAGTTAGCTCCTTATTTCTTCTTTTTCATACATTTTCCCAGCTCTGGTCTGTTCTTCTCCTCATAACTTCTAATTGCAGAAGGAGGCCAATGAGCATTGTCTCAGGGATTGGCTAACACTTCAGTAGTCACATAGAAAACCCAGCATGCAGATCAGAAATTCAACAATTTGGGGATCCATGCTTAGCAATCACACTCGTTTGTGGTTTGCAAAACAAGGATTAGCCATCTACATTTATTCACATTTTCAACAAATAATTATTATGGGCCTTCTATGTGCCAAACACTGTTTTAGACACAGTGAAAAATAACAGACAAAAGTCCCTTCCTTTGTAGAGTGTACTTTCTAGTGAGGAGAGGAAGAGAGTGAACATAGTAAGTCGAATATTTTGAGGGTTAGAAGGTGTAAGTACTAGGGGGAGGGACTGCTGGGTAAGGGGGGAATGAGAGCATTGGGGGAGGGGGGTACCTGCAGCATTTTTAAATAGGGTGAGAAGGTGACATTGGAGCAAAGACTTGAAAGAGGTGAGACAATGAACGGAGGACTCTGGGATTAGATTGCTTGGGGCAGAGGCACCAGCCAAGGTGACAGGTCTGCTTGCTGCGTGTCAAGAGCATCAAGGAAGCCAGGGAGGCTGAAGCGGAGTGGTGGGCAGGTAGAGGAAAGAAGTTGAGGTCCAGAAAGGCACAGGGGTGAATCTTGCAGCATTTGGGGGCGGTTGTAAGGATTTGGGCCTTCCTCAGAGTCAGATGCGAGACCCTGGAAGCTTTGGATTAGAAGAAATACACAACCTGTCCCGTGCTGCCTTAGAAACAGCTTGCAGGGGTCAAGGGCAGAAGCAAGGAGACCAGTTAGGAGACTGCTGCAAGTATCCAGAGGCCTCACTGGGCCACGGAGGTGCTGAGAAGGCCTGGGGATGTGGTAGAGCCCAGGATTTCCTGATGAAGTAAATGTGAAGTGTGAAAAAGGTGGAATCAAGGACTATTTCTTTTTTAAAACCTCTTAGGTGGCTTGGTGGAAAATGGAGCTTTAATTAATGATTCTGTTAAAATTAGAAGTACATTTGCTCATGGAAAGAGCTCCAGGTATTGAGGCCATGAGAATGAATCCCTGAGAACTCAGAAGGGGCAGTGGTTTTATCCATTTTAATGACTGACAAAAATGATAACAAGATTGTGGCATTTGGTTTACCCTTTTATGATTTTCATATATTCCTGTTTAACTTCATTGGATTAAAATAAATATTTGCTACCGAGGCAACCAGTGTGGCTCTTTTTTTAAAAAATCCTCACTTGAGGATATGTTTTAGAGGGAGAGAGGAAGGGAGAGAGAGAAAGATGAATGTTGATTGGCTGCCTCCCCTATGTATCCAATCTGGGATCAAACCCGCAACCTTTTGGTGTAGGGGATGATGCTCTAATCAACAGAGCCACCCTGCCAGGGCCAATTGTGGTCCTTATATAGCACTTATGCCTGGTGTCATTTGAACTCACCAGTGCTTACAGTGATTTGATTTAGAGTTCACATTGTTCTGGGTTGTTAGGCATACTGAAAGTGGGCGACAAACCAAGGACAGAAAGAAATCAAATGAACTGTTTTGTGCAGATGTAGGCCGTTTTGTCATTCAAGATGAGTTCCATTATGAATGATGGATATATAATGCTAGCCATTATTTTTAAACGAAGGGGTGTAACCTATCTTATGCATTCTATTTTCCTATCTGAAATTAAAGAAAGAAAAGACACTGAGATGTGACTGCTCCGCAAGTGGACAGTGGAGCAGCTGGTTGAGTGTCTCTGTGATAGCTTCTATCTTAGGGAAGCTTGGGTATCCTGTTGCTTCACTGCTCTGGTGTCCTCAGTGATTTCAGCTGAGCTGTGAGAATGGGTGGAACAGAACGGTGAAGTGAGGGGCGAGGGAATACGCCTGGGCCACAGTCATTCCAGTGGCTCTGCATTGTGGCAGGCGGGAATAAATGCCGGAGAACCAGACAAGGTCCCAGTTGCTATGTAAACTTGGGCAAGTCATTTAACACTTTGAAGTCTCCATCTATTTATTTGTGAAGAAATAATTCTTATTGCCTTACCGATTTCCTAAAGTTGTTGGAGGCTCAAAAGTGAAAGCGATATGACATAAAATTGCTTTGGAAACACTAAAGCATTCTACAAATATAAGCCTTGATTATTGATTTAGCTACAAGGTACATTATTCATACATATAAAATATCTTACATGTAAAGATTATAGACACATTCTTTTATCATCCTAAGATCTGTATTAAGTTTTCTGGGCATATATAGTCATTATTCTACGATTGTAATTTTTCCTCTCTTTGGACTGGTTCATTCTAAAGTCCTAGTGGGATTTAATCTTCAGCCTATATATTTATGTGTGTGTGTGTGTGTGTGTGTGTGTGTGTGTGTTTGTGTGTAATGTTAATAGTAGAGGGAGGGAAAAGAGAAGAAATGGGCTTACAGAGGTGGATGAGGCCTTAGAGACGAGCTCATACAATTTCCTCACTTGAAGTGGAAGAGGATCGGATCCGTGGTTAAGTGACTGGTTGCCAAGATTGCACAGCCTTTTAGAGCTGAACTAGGGCTGGAAGCCAGGTCGATGGACTCCCACTCCAATATTCTTTCTACCTCACTTGGCTGCTATCCTGTGTTATACAATTTTTCAATACATATTAGCACAGAGAATTATAGCATCTATATATTCCATAGTATTCTCTCCCAACTCCTGCAAGCAAGAAGTATCTACCAAACCTTGAACAATTTCACTTAAAGCTTCATAACTAAAAAGGTACAGGAAGCAGAAGATGTATATTTTCAGAGCCATAGCTAAGCCAGAATTGCTCTTTTCCTTACCATTAATGTATCTCTTTTGAAATTCAAGTTTTTTTGTGTGTTTTTTTCAGTTATCTTTTTTTCAGTTACATGTGGTTGACCTGACACTGTCTCACCTTCGAATAACTGTTTCTGGAAGCTCTAACAACTGCCTTTACATCCCCCACATTATCCTGGTCTTTGGGAAGGCCAGGAAAGGTGGGCTTGGTTTTGTGTTTTCTCTTCTCTTGGGGCTCTCTTAATAGGGTGAGTGGGAAGCTGACTGTTTGAGGTCCTCTTGGCCACAGGGGTCTTTCATGACACCAAGAGAAGAAACCTCCTCTCTCACCTACAGGCTCCATCGTAGCTATGGTTTACTTTTCTTCCTAGGATTTATTACTGTCTGAATTTATCTTCTCTATTTACCCGTGTGATTTTTCATTGTCTTTCTCTCTCTTTATGAAAATGTAAGCTTCTTGAGGGCAGGGAGCTGGCCTGTGTTGTTCTTCATTGTACTTTGAGTTTTTAGCACTTGGCAGGCATTCAAATAATATTAAAAGCATGAAATAATTGTGGGGTCAAGGAGTTGAACATGTATAAGGCTTTGGATCCATATTATCAAATCACTTCCCCCAAATGTCAAAATTCACAATCTCTTCGGCTTTGTCCGTGGGAATCCTTTCCCTTGCTGCTCTCTGAACCTGGGTATTATAATGGGTATTATCTATAATAATAAAAGCGTAATATGCTAATTAGACCAGACAGCCAAACAACCTTCTGGACGAAGCTGCCATGGCAGGGGCCCGGATTGCGAGAGGGTGCAGGCCGGGCTGAGGGACCCCTCTCCCCCTGTGCACGAATTTCGTGCACTGGGCCGCTAGTAACTTAATAAAAAGTCTTTAATATAATAGGCAAACATTTTTTGAAAATTCTTACTATTCTTATTTTAATTTATATTTCTTTGTTGCAGTGTATTTTAGAAAGATTTTTTTTGAGAGTTAAATTTTGTTTATTGTGGTAACATAAAGAAACATACTTTAGTGGTCAAGAAAACTCAGTTAGTTTTCCCTGAGAATGCCTCTCTCAGGTATGAAGATCAAACATGCCTGCAAGCATTTTAAGAAGTATAAACTAGTTATGCCCTCAAAATGATGTGTTATCCTCAAGATGAGTGTGCAGAGGACAAGGATGGCTTAACTCAAAGAGCGTGTGTAAAGCAGTGTAAGGAGACCCCGTTATGTTTGGTGAGGCATCGGTGGTGTTCAGAACTGGCAGAACTGCCAGTGTGGACAGAAAGGAAGAAGTTGCTTGGCTTTTTCCCAACCACTTATTCACCCACAGAGCATTCACAATGAATACCCATGAGAACTCCTTCCTCATAAGGGACCAATTAACCCACTTGCCCAGTGCATTTGGTCCTTGCAGAGGCACATGGAAAGAACACTTGGTATCTGAAAGGGTCTGGCTCCAGTCTCCTGTGTAGAGGTCAAATAGGTCAAAGTTCATTTTTTTTCTTTTGAACTGTGGCTCTGTGAAATATGTCTCTAACTTGGGCCTGACGTCATGTTGAATCTCTTTTCCTCAGCATTTTGACAGACCATGTGCGAAGGGCCCTGCAAGGGTGTGGTGGTGGTGGTCGGGGGGTGGGCAGAGAACTGTTTAAGGACATTGCGGTCGGCTTTGTCACTCTGCAGCTCTTCAGAGACTGCAGGGTGACCGGGCTCAGTCCTCTCTCTACTCAGTTCCTCTGGGTGTTTTGGTCTGTTGATTTTCCAGTGTCTGTAACCCAAAGCAACACATCTTTCCTGGCATGTTTGAAAAGGGAGCCGTTGCTAAAGCTATTGGACTCCCAGGGAAAGTCCTTGCATTTACACAGTCTAACACAGGACATTATTCCACACTGAAGATTGTATGGTTACAGACATCTGCCAGGTCAGCCTTTTCCTAGCCATTTTAATAAAACTAATGATAACCAGTAAACTTGATTCAGTCATTCCTCAAAGGAGCTTTGGTGTTTAATAAATACTTTTCCTTTCCTACGGTTTATATTCTAGCTATTACATTTGGAAGTAGAAGGCACACCCGTCATAAAATGCCTAACCTTTAAGCTCCCTTTTTGGAATTCAATATAATTAAAAGCAGAAAGTATTTGTTAAATTTCTACTAATGCCAACCCTATGTGAGGAGTTTTTGGGGACACCCAGAAAGTACAAGTCTTGTAAGTGATGTCCTAATTATGTAAAGGAACAAGAAACCTTTTCCAGCCTCCAGTTCCCATCTGAGAAATGCTTGCTACAGATAGAACAGGATAATTGACCCCTTTAATTGGTCCCCTATTCTGCAGGGAAACATGGAAAATGTTCCCTTGTGATTTATCCTACAGCTTCTACCTTCCGTTCACATTCATCGCACCCATAGTTGGTGAGCTCCAGGAGGGCAAGGCCATTGGACTTGGGAATCAGTGGTATCTAGACCACGAGAGAGGCACGACTCCCCAAGGAGGCGTGAAATATGCAATAGCACAAGTTCAAGTTTCTCTGTGGTTCTGTGCTTAGCATTTGATAATACTTTTCTTTGCCAGAATCAGTGGTACCCAGTCTTTACCTCCCAGCCCTGTGAGGTTGCTGTGTTAAAGCTTATTCTCACACCACATGACTCTTGTCTCTAATTTCTTATAGGCTTAGAAAAAAAGCTTTATTGATATGTAGTTCACATCCCACACAAGTCACTCATTTAACGTGTATATTCACAGATATGTGCAGCCATCACTACAGTGGATCTGAGAACAGCAGAAACCTAATTTCCTTTGGTTTTCCCTCCCCACCCTCCTACCCCCTCCAGCCCTAAATAACCACCAATCTCCTTTCTGTTTCTTCTTTTACTCTCTGAAGCCCTCAGGAATCAGCACTTTGGTATCAATGTCTCCTGTTTTGTGATCAGCTCTCCAGCAGGTGTACTCCCTCCTTCAGCTGGAGCCATGAAGGAACAGAACCACCTGCCCATGAAAGTGGTTCCCCAGACGGAGGCTGAGCATGGGGTTCGCACAGAGTGCTCTCGCTCGGACTGAACATCTTGCCCCAGGGCTGGGAGACCCGCCTCAACCTGAAATCCTTTCGTGGAGATCAGACTACAGCATTCATCTTTTTGCCTCTTTGCCTCTTTGTTGTTCAGCTCTTCCCTGCACCTTCAGTCTGTGGTTTTCTTTCATTCACACCCACCTTCCACCCTGCTCACCTTCAGGATTTTTCATCTGTATCTACCACATTCATCAGGGAATAAATGTATAATCCTTCTTCTGGCTGTCAGTCAATTTGAATACTGGTTATCTTCCCAGCCATGAACTGTATAGCACAGCTCTGTCCTTGGTTTTGGAAGAACAGTGAGTCAACATTATCTTCGCTGAAGGCTGGATCTTAACCACCTTATAGCACCATTAATCTGTCAAATCATCCCCAAACTGCAAGGCATTATGTATTATCTAAACTGAGACTTCTTTTCTATTAAAGGGTATTGTCCCCGCCTCTTATGGTTCTGCATACTTCCCGGGAGGGATAGCATGAGAGAGGGCATGTGTGGGATGTTTAGGAGGGGAGGGCCCCTTTCATCCCTGGCGGGCACATTAGAAAACAGATCATGGTGGAGACCAGAGCATGGTAGAAACTAGTCAATAGCAAGTAGAAGAGAGTTCATGATTTTTTGTTTTTTTGTTTTCCAGTTCATTTTTCATTTTAAAAATTATAAGTTATTTTTTTTGCCCAGCCAGTGTGGCTCAGCAGTTTAGCATTGACTCATGCACCAAGAGGTCACCAGTTCGATTCCTGGTCAGGGCATATGCCCAGGTTGCTGGCTCGATCCCCGATGGGGACATGCAGGAGGCAGCTGATCAATGTTTCTCTCTCTCTCCCTTCCTCTCTTTCTAAAAATCAATAAAAACAGATTTTTTTAAAAAAAATAAAATTACAAGGTTTTTCATAATTTTATATTCAATTTTTGCTATGAAGACATGGGCTGTCAGATTTTTAAAAATGTCACTGAATATCTTTTTCTGGTGTGAGATATTTGTGGTATTAGAAAGCCTCTTATTTTTTAAATAAGCTTAGATGTACATCACCTGTTCTCACCCTGGACTGTGAAGTCTAGGACAAAAGTAGTCCAGTAAAACTTCTGTTTTAGGGTCTTTCACTTATTAATAACTCACCTCATGAAAAATATCACAGTTTAGAGACTTTCATAAAAAACCATGATTCAGTAAACATGTTGTTTATTTTTATGGTGCCCACATAGATATGGGTACTTTCTGTATGTTCCTCCCCCCTTTATAATTCCTGAAACTTTAATAATAAAGGGCATAGCCTGCAGGCGTGGCTCAGTGGTTGAGCGTCGACCTATGAATCAGGAGGTCACGGTTTGATTCCCCACATCAGGGCACATGCCCAGGTTGTGGGCTTGATCCCCAATTAGGTGTGTGTGTGTGTGTGTGTGTGTGTGTGCAGAAGGCAGCTGATTAATGATTCTCTCTCATCATTGATGTTTCTATCGCTCTCTTCCTCTCTGAAATCAATAAAAACATAGTTAAAAAATAATAACAAAGGGCATAGTCCTCTTGGTTTATGTTAGTCCTTCTAAGTAAAAATCTGCATTTTCTTGTCTTTCTAATCTTCAGAGCCACACAGCCACGTTTTCTCCTCCAATACCACGGGAAGTAACCCACGGCAGCGGCAGAGGGTGTCACACATGTACTTGCATTCATTGGGTCCTGGCTGAGTTAACCGATTTCCCACAGAAGTCCATTTTCCCTTTCCTGAGTCACATCTGAGCCCGCGGCCCTATAAGGGAATGATTCCCTGCTCGGTGATGAAATGCCAGGACGCGACATCCTTTCTAATGAGTCACAGTCAATACAAATTGTTTTCAAATGACTCTGCCTCTGCCTCCACACTGCGCTACGTGAAAGAAGAACCTCTTCAAATCAAAACATCTTGTTTCATCAGCCGAGCTCCGGCAGACCTCTCGCTTTTGTAAGCAAAATGAAATGTGTTTCCACACAAAGGGAAAATCCAATCTGTTCTTATTTTTCCTCGGGTGCCCGTGTTCCACAGTAAGAGGAAATGACGAGGCACACACTGGAAAGTGTTTGCAGGGTTTGGGGACAGAGAAGCTACTGAGGAGTTTTGTAGACAATAATAATGAGACATCTAGAGGGATTGTGAACTCCTGAGAGCTCCCATATAAACTGTGGGTGGTGGGACTTGTGTGTACAGCGTGGTTGATCATGGTTTTCATTTGAAATAGCACCGGCCCTTTATTAGGAGAAGTGGGACTTTATTAGTGTCTTTCTGTTGTGTTGCTGCTAAAGAGACTTACAATCTGGGCTTAGTGAATCCACAAATGATCCCCCAGGTGTGCACACATCAGCCACGGACAGCTTCACCTTTCCAGCTCGGGAAAATGGAAAGGAAGGAACAACAATGTAATGGTCCTTGAGGGCTTAACTATCATTACCGTGAAAGGAAAAAAAGAAACTTTTAAGAAAATGCAAACAATCATGTGACACATTTTAGGGTGCAGCAGAGAGGGTGTGAATTTCAGGCTGGCATCCATAAAATTCCCTAAGGGGGAAAACACACAACGGATCAGGTTCAACTATAAATCAGAGCAATCCCAAGTCAGAACGAGATGAAGGATTTAAATGTGACCAGGGCTCCAAGCTGTGACATCATAGACAAGTGAGAACCCACTTGGACCTTGAACTTGACCTTCTTTCAAGCACTCCCAATAAAGTTACCCAGTAAGATAAAGAGGCCGGGGGTGGGGAATTAAATTTATCCATCCATTAAGAGTTTGTTTGTTTAAATGATTCAAGTGCCTTTGGTAATGCCATGTGCTTCTCTTTTGATGAGAGAAAGAAAATCATATCCAGAGAAGGTAGATAGAAGAGCCTGATAAATGAGACATGGCTGAAACATCCAGGCGTGTTTAGCAAGAAGGGAAGGAGAGGGAAAGTGTGTTCTGTAATTCCTCATTCCCCGATCCACAGCCCAGTGGTTGTGACCTGAGCATATGGAGTTGCTGATTTGAACTACTTGGCTACCCACTGAATCATGTTCCCTTCCTTTCCCTGCTATTCAAAGCTTTCTGTAATGCGGCTTTAGACTCCTTCTCCACCTGTGTCATGAGAGTAATCACCTTTCTGTACCCTCCAACTCCTCATGCATTTTCCTATGTATCCTTCATCTCCTAATACCTTCTTTATCCGCTCAATTCCTTGTCTTTTGAAAACTTTTAGGGCCTAGAGGAAATTCCACCTTTCTTCACGAGTGCCTCAAGCAGACACATAGCATGCCTCCCCTTGGGCAAGAGTGCTCGGCCCCATGTCAAGATGCCTCACCTTCACTGCCTGCTCCACAAATTGTGAAACAGCCCCAAGTAGACGGTGACAGTTCACAGGGGAAAGAGGGAAGGAGGAATGCCAGGATGCTGACCTGTACCCTCTAGTGAAAAGAGAACTATGTCTTTGTGATGCATTTGCATCTCAACCTTATGGACATAGGTCAGACTGCATTCTTCCTGAGAGCAGACGGGAGCCTCAGCGAGGATTGCAGGTACAAGGAGACAGCAAGGAATGTGGAAAGGGCATGTGCCTTGGAGCAGTAGCTGCTCCCATAAAAGTGGGAGACCTGGTGGCCCCTCCCCCTGCAGCAGCCCGGGTAAGAAGATGGGTGAGGAGTAGCAGATGAGAACATTGACACACAGCCCAGAAGGTTTGTTCATGGTCTATAATTAGTAGCTTTGCTATTTAATAATTGTTTCAGTTCTCCTTTGTCAATAACACAGTGCCTCTCATAAAATAGGGACATATAAAATGCCAAAAAAATCCAAACTCAAACAAACAGACAAACAAAATAAAACCTTCTTCAACTGCTTCTTCTCTGCTCCCACAATGCTCTGGTGGCCAATCTGACACCGACCACAGGCTGTCTGTTCTCTGATATTATGTATTCATAGAATAGTTTGCAGCTTGGAAAGCATTTTCACAAACAGGGGCATTATCTACTTGGGAGGTTTGGATTCTTCTTGCAGATAACTCGGGTTTTGAGAGTTCAAGTAACTTGTCCAGTATCACAGAGCTAATATTTGGTAGAGCTGGAATACAAATGCAGGTTTTTCCGACCCTAAATCTGGATCCTACTTCCCTCCAAGGGTTGTGGTGTGGTTTCGTTTTTGAAAAAAATCTAGTGGGTATGAGAGCAATTTTCAAATTCTAAAGTACTACCTGGACGAAAGGAAGGATTTACCCATCGCACTGCAATGTCGGAGACAAGGCCATTTTTATCTTTGCATATAAATGCGCATTCTCAGGCCCACCCAGAGCAGCTAAATCCGGGTCTCCAGCAGTCTGTGCTGACAAGCCCTGCAGGTATTTGGATACGTGCTCCGAGTCTGAGAACCAGGACGGCAGGAGAGGATTATCTTTTCTCTGTGGGGCCCTTGCACCTCAGAGGCTAGGCGGCATTATGGGATCCTTAGCAAGTATGCAAACCTCAGTTCTCAGAGGAGAGGGTGGCTTAGAGTGCTGAGTGAGCAAAGATTTTATTGGTGATTAAAAAAACCATTTAAAAGACTAAACTGGCAAGATTATGAGCTCTGAAGGGTGTTGTCTTACCTGGAAGGCAGATGTCAAGGGGAGCTTTAAGGAAAGGAGGGAAGAAGACAGGACTTTGAAAGGCAAATTCTTCATGGGTGTCAGAAAAATTCATGAGGGGGTGGGGGAGATTTATTATGACTGTTAATTCAGGAAAGAAATGACATTAATTTTTTTTAAACGGCTGACAGTAGGCCTTTGGTAAGCGGGTAGAACAATCCAGGGGGATCACCAAGTGTCGAGAGCGCTCATGAAAGCCCAAAGGGCAAGGTTAACCCCTTAGTCTAGAAAATGGATGTGGAGAATGGAGTGCCTATGACCATTTTATTTTGGAAACACTGATGTGAATTCAGCTATAAACTGTTTTCATTCTCCCTGAACTAATGTATTATTCTAAAGAGAAAAAAACAAAAACAAAAAACAACACTGTAAAAGGCTCCTGGTTTCTTTAAGCTAGTGTGGATAATGCAAAATGTTGGCTGTTGCTGGCATTTGAAATGTGTACAGAATTAGCGAGCAGAAAAAATTGCTCAAGTTCAAATGCCTGTATAACCTGAGCAGTTTGCCATCTGAGTGGATGTACCCACCATGTCTCCAAGAGCCTTCTGGTGTGAATTTTCATTTAATGTCCAGCAATAGTACAGCCCAGAATAGATTACTACTTAAAATTGAATGCTATACTAAAATGTTTACCAATGAAATACCAGGTCTGGAATTTCCTTCACAATAATTTATGGGAAGGGATGGTGCATTTTAGATGAAACAAGATTGGCTGTGAGTTAATTGTTGAAGTTGGGCATGGTGCATGGAGGTTCTTTATACTAGTCTGTTTAGTATATGCTTGAAATTTTCTATAGTAGATAATATTTTTTCAGAGTGGATGCTAGATATCACTGTCCTAGAATCCCCTAGCCATCGCTGGCATGCCAACTTTTCTCTGGCCACCTTTCCCTCTAGGGCCCTGCCTACTGATAATGCTCAGATCTTTCTTCCCCCTCTGCCACCCACTTCACCTCTCTCCCCCCATTCTGTGATCCACTAAAACCCTGCCTTCCTCACCTAAGGGGAATGCTTTAAAAAATCCTGTTCTATGCAAAACAAATAATTTCATTC